TTTTCTCATAAAGACAATATTTCATTTTTCTTTACCGGCCGTTCTCTCAAAACGCCGCGACTTTCCTCTATAGTTTTTTTAATAACTCCACCATTTTTGATCCAATCTTCAAGAAATTTTCACAGAATGAAGAGAAGATGTGATACTAAAAATTCGTCTGTTGAATTTTTGATATTTGGAATAGTTTTTGTTGGTGGTGTCTTGAGTGTGAATTTTCACGGATTTTTGGAAAACTTGAATGGTACCTCAGAAAAAAATTCATTACATTTTTTTTAAATTCGTTAAGGAAAAAAACAACAGGCAAATTTTTTATCCAATGTTTGTTAACACGCATGCAAAAAAAATCCACATGATTACTTTCCATAAGCAGTAAGTGCGGTATTCATTACGTAAGGCCTGTCAACAAAATCCAATATGGCCGCCGTATCCATGGAAACGAAATTTTTCTCAAATTTGATTGCGGTTTTTAAGACTCCTTACTATTCTTGTTATATTGTGAAATTTGGTAAAATTCGGTCCAGTAATAAGCGAGTTAGCCTTCGGGTGTAGCCCCCCCCCCCTTAAGGCAGTAAAAAATTGACATACTGACAAGATTTTCCACTGTCTATAGATGAGCGAGTACCCATTCGCAACTGTGTGAAATGAGAAAAAGATCGTGTAATAGACACTTATGCTCAGAGAATTAGGCAGGCACTAATACTTAGTAATACTGGCGATGTCATCACTATGTAGTATAAGACTTGGTGCAAACTCTAGGAACTTTTCGTGACGCTGAAGAGACTGTGTCATCTTAGAGTGGGACAGAGAGTGCCCCTCCCCCCTCCAACATACCACATAAATACACACACGCATGCACACCCTCCCCCCTCACACACACACACACACACACACACACACACACACACACACACACACGCACACACACACACACTCGTGATATGAAAGATCAGAGGAATGTAGGGCGAACATGACTTGAATAAAAAATAATTTCTGAACAATTGTTGCTAACATTTCTATATCATAGCCCTCGTCGTACTTGGATGAGTAATTACAAGATAATCAGTACCGGTAGAAGAATAAAGAAACATCTCAACGTGTGGGGGCGGACAGATTAAGTAAGACAAAGTTGTTATGGCAAACATCATTTCTCCGATTTGTTTTTGTTAATAATTAAAGACTGAAGATGCTGCAAATTTTGCTAGAACTACTAAACACAAAAGCGCTGTTTATTGGAAAAAACAGGGGAATAAAAAAAAATATCAAGGAATCGTGATAACTTGACATCACTTTTAAACGCAAAATAGGTCCATGCAGAAAGAAATATAATTTAGAAATACGCGATATAGAAAATAGCCAACACCGTTATCTTTGACTTCAGCAAGCGCCCCTCCAGTCTCACCCAAACATCGATCTCGGTAGACGAAAAAAAAAGGCTGTACAACTTTAATGTAACTTATTGAACGTATTCCAACATTATATCACCAATGTTAAATCTGGACATTTTAAAATAAAATCTAGGAAAGCAATATCACTGCATGAGCGATTAAATATATCCGTGCAACTCTAAACACAAAATTATGTCCATACCTTTAAGATTATACAATCGTCTGTTCGGTGTACCCACTCTTCAGGTCACAGTATAATCTGATGTGTGCACAAAAAAGGCACCTGAGATCAGATGGCAGTCGTCTTTTTAACCTCTTCAGGGGCTTGAAGAAGGCCATAGTGCTCGAAAAACAAATATCTGATTTGTTCCAGTAGCTGAAGTCACTTCTCCATAGCGTGTATGTAAGCAGTTTCTATACTATAACCGCAAGGTCAAAAGAGAAGCTTATACGTGACCCCCAAAAATCTTACTTGCTGAAACTTTTTAAAAGTTTTTATAGATAAAATGCTTGACAGAAAAAGAGAGTTGAAGGGAGATGGGGGCACAAGACGTTCACTTTTTTAGTCCTCGGAAAGTCTCACAAATTGGGAAATATAACTCAGAAAGGATGCAGGGTAAGGTAGTCGGGTGTTGTTTAGTTATAGAAGAGGATTTACGGCGCTCGCAACTGCATAAGATCATATTATGAGCGTCAACAGAGAAGTCCTTGCAGGGAATCAGACTTACTCTACTCACCCCTCTAGCTTCAACAGCACAAAGTATGATGTGACTATAAAGGCACCCCGGAATTATATTCTTTGACTTTCGGTTGTATGTCAAAGAAAAGGATTTTACTATTTTTGTCTCCACAGGTAGTTTTAGAGATTCTTTGGCAAAATGGTCGACGGCCTCGTTGCCACCAATGCCCACATGGCTCGGAAGCCAAGCTATTGTAAACGTTTTACCAGATTGATGTAAAAAAAAAATGCAGTTTAATTATATGTTTTAAAATTCTGTTGTCGGAGGCTCAGAGCACTCTAAAGATTCCAGACAAGAGAGAGAGAGTCTGAAAGGATTAGGAAAGTAGATTTGGTTAATATATCTATAATATTCAGAGCCATGTTAGGAGCTGTAGTCCCTGCAGTGTAGATTGGGGCTTTTGGGTGGAGTTTCTTTGAGCTGTCCTTCTGACAGGGACTTGCTGGGAATTGGGGTGGGGGGGATATTTTTTTTTCGTCTATAATCGTCTCCAGTGCTCCCAACCAGTCACCGAGTCCAACAAGGCGACACCGTTCGGAAGTCCATAGCTGGTGTCAGGGCTACTCTGGGGGTATACTCCCAATCAAACGGCAAAAAATCTCGCCTTCCAACCAAGAATGGTCAAAAAACCGGTTCTACGAACTGGTCGCAATCGATTGAGTGCAGCAGGCCACTACACCCACCCGTCTAGACCGAATCCAGGGCCAAGTGGTGTGTTGGTGAGGGAAGCCACACCTCAGCCACCAGGGTCCCCTTCTTCGGTCGTATGGGTCGCACCCCACGGTCAACAGGGTGCCCCGCGTTGCGGGGATTTGGGGTCGAAGTTTCGCTTGACCAGACCTTCGGTCGAAAGGTCGGAAAGAAAGATAGATGGACAGAAGACATAGCAAGAGCGGACAGAAGGTGCCACCCCCACAGAGAGCTAGTGACGTACGAGTGGCATCCCACAAGCGGGGGGTTACACTCCCTGTTGATGAGACAGCCAACTATCTTTATTCTACTCCCCAGTCAGCTCGGGGAAGGACGAAAGAAGAAGGAAGAAAGATGACAGAAGACAGACGATACACCGAAGCAAATGTCGCCCATGTGCACCTGAGCATAGATGTCCATGGGTGACAAATCACCTTCTGCTGGCGAAGCAGTGGGTCTATTTATATCATCCGACCACGGGGTAGTAAGAGTTTTACGGTACTTGGAACATAAAAAGTCATATAGATGCCGAAGATTAGAGGTGTTACAAGAGAGAAACAAACACAAAAAAGGATGAGGAAAATGTTTTAGAAGAGGTTTTACTGCGCTCGCAACTGCATAAGTTCATATGAGCACCAGAAGATTAAAAGTATTACAAGAGAGTAACGAACATAAAAAAGAAGGGGAGATAAGGACGATAGCTGTTATTATACTGTTTCACTACAACAGCAACACAGACGAATATAACAGTTTTCTCTTTTTTTGAAGAAGCGTTTTCTCAGTGCTAGCCCTCAGAGTTTTCACTACCCACTTAATAGCAGTAGCAACAATAATAATAATGATAATAATGAAAATAATAATTTGCATTTTTTATATAGCGCTCTATCCTATACTAGTAAGCTCTGAGCACTTTACAACAATCACATGATCATTCACAAAATATTTCACAGAAACAAGAAGAACCAGTTCAACTTAACACATGAGATCTGCTTGTGTCAAAGATGCCACAAAACTCTCTTGAAAGATCTAAGTGTTTTTCACATTTGATTTTTAAAAGTCATTTTTATTTTCGTCTCATCGTGGCCTTGTTATAACGAAGGCTAAGTTCATGGTCCACCAAGCGAGGTCTCAGAAAAAGGGAAACAACTCGGGGAAAAAAGTATCTCATAAATATTTTATTGTTATCGAGCCTGGATTTTATCAATAATAATATTCCCAACAAACATAAGCTGGAACAGTTGCATAATATAATTTAGTACTTTTGTTTTAGTAGAAGTAGTAGTAGTAGTAGTGGTAGTAGTAGGAGTAGTAGTAGTAGTAGTAGTAGCAGTAGTAGTAGTAGCAGCAGTAGTAGTAGTAGTAGTAGTAGTAGTTGTAGTAGTAGATAAGAGTCAGAGTGGCTGACATGTCCTAGTACTGGTGTGGTGGGATTTTTCCTTACTTTCTTTACAAATATCTACCGTCCTTATCTCTCCTCGTCCTCCTTTTAAAAATTGCAACCCTTTTGTTGGTAGGCCTATATTATGCTCCAGCAATACCTCTTCTTCTTTTTTGTTGTTGTTGGTAAGTGTTCTACTGTAATCACAATTATTGCATAAGGCCATGTGAGCGCGCGGAACACATTTAACACTCAGTAGGTAAGGAATTTTGAATTTTACCCAAGTGACGGCAGAAGCCTACTTCTATCGAATTTTGGACCATACAGGGATCTGTAAAGTTCGCAAATTGCGGACGGGACTTCCGATATATTTCATCCATGTCCGAGAAGGCTAGGTGTTAATCTTTCCTGCCATACGATCAGGGGTGTAGCTGAAAGACACCAGTAAGAAGGAGCCAAGGAGTAGCAGTAGAAAGGCTGCAGAAAGAGTCAGGAGCCCAGAGGAGGGGGCAAAGGAGGTGAAGGAGTTTCAACGGACTCTCAAGCTAAGGAAATAACTTATCTTTGGCGGCCATTTTCTCACTAATTTTACCTCTGAAGTCAGACGACCCCCACCTTCTTCTTCTCAAATAAATCGACTAGTATTCAGGATAGGTCTAAATGGATATTCTTTTCATCCAAAGCAAGACAAAGAAACAAGAGATTGTTGGTTCGGGGGTTCGAGACTCAACTCGGTCCGAAGTTGTGTCCTCGGGAAATCACTTTACACAAATGAAATATCCCACTTGGCTCGGTCCTTTCGGAGATGGACTTTAATTTAGACGGTCCCTCCTTTTAAATAACTTAATAGTGTTGATAGGGGCGTTAAACATAATACCATTTCGGATTTCACATGTGTTAAAACCAACCTCTTAGGTTCAAACTCTTCTTGGGAAACATATCACAATGAGAACTAAAGTTAGGACATTGATGGACGCCATGCAAAAGAACAGTCCAGGCCAAGAGAAATGCTCCAACAGAGCGGAAGACACAGAAGGAAGGACAACACTAACAAGCGTTGTTGACGAAAACACGAGGCCGTACATAGTACTAAAATTTTCCCCGCCAAAACATGCAAAAACTGCGTAGTAAAGTACCGAAAACATACCACCAGCACAGGCGGACAAAAGACTGTTCCAGAAAAGGAAAAACCACTTATCGATGTAAGGCGAAAAGAACCATCCAATCCCAAATAGCGACAAAGTGGCAAAATAAATGACTAATGATGTCTTTAGCATAACCTTGTCCATGATAATCCCCCAAAAGAGACGAGAGAAGAATAACACAGCACACATGACTGTCCCAGCGCTGCCCATGAAGTGGTCGTCTTGAATTATGCTCTGACCAAAAGATTTATAAAAAGAGCTTTGGACAAGATTTGTAATTTCTGCAGACCCGGTAGCAAACCATATTATGTAGAATTCTCTCATTCTCAAACTTTCACGCCACGTCAAACTCGCTCCCACACGCGAATGTTCTATTTTTGACACTTTCGAATCAATACTCTTTCTCTTTCCATCACACAGCGCTCCTGTCTTTCCAGAATATTCAAACAAACCTTGGCCATCTTCTACTTCCAAACACGTCATTGTTTTGTAGCTAAAGCCAGGAACAATATTCAACTCATTTCTTGTAGAAGAATCTCTTTCCCCTGTTTCCCCATCGTAAGATGAGTGGAATTCGTCACCAAATAAAGGAACGTTGTCTGTATGCGTTGCGTTCAATGTATCTGTCTCTGTTCCCCGAAGTGGATTAACTCTGAATTTGTTATCAGCTCCTCCCTTCTGGTTCGATGCTCTGGTAACGTTGTGTGGGTCATCCCGAACAGTATTGTCCGTGTTTGTGTTGTCAGACACACCAGATATAGATGGGTGCTGATCATCACTGTAATAACGCTGGAACCTATTTTTCCCCAGAAGGCAATCTTGTGCTGTAGAACCTTCATCTCTTTTGACTTCCTTCTCGCAAAAGACTCCTTGTGGGCTACTGTTGTCCTCACATTCACTTTGTGGGTCCTTCTTGGGTTCTCTGATCAATGCAAAGCCGAATAAATGGACAACTGCAAAGACCCCGGCTAGTATAAGGAATATGGACGGCACCCTAAGATGGAGTGGGAAAGGGGGGGGGGGCATTTTGGGGATGAGGAAGGGAAGACATGCAATGCAACGGTTGATTTCAAATGCATTTAATTAGTTTTCATATAGTATTTATACATCTAGACGTTTTTAACTCTCATCAACACGATCGGGATAAACAAAGGAGACATTTCCTAGGCTGAGAAGGGCTAAGACGTATACTGTATCCAATGTCCAAACAGAAAGACTGAGATACTCGATTAATTAAAATTCCCACCCAAACGGGAATAGATCTGTGGCCTTCTCGATGCAACATTGTAGCGCCCTGCTCCCACACCACAGACGCCTGTTCTAGTTTTGCGTCTCAATAATTTCAAAACAAACTTGAAAATAAGCGCTTGCCACATTCTTTTTCATTGTCTTATTATATTTATAATACTAAATATACAACTATCTATCTATCTATTTATCTTCTATCAATCTATCTATCTATCTATCCATCCATCTATCTATCTATCTATCTATCTATCTATTTATCTATCTATCTATCTATCATTCTATCTATCTAATGTATTATGCTGTGTATTATAACTTGCCCAAATTCATTTATACACAGTTATGAGTTTTACACAAAGGCACAAACACTAGAACGCACTCACA